ATCAACGCCTTCGTACTCTTTTTCTTCGTCGTCGTATTCTTCTTCGTTTACAAGCCTGGTGGTTCTCCGGTTGCTACATTCTTTCGACTTATGACCCGGTAGGCCACAACGATAGCACTTAGGAGCCGATGGTTTCGCGTAGGGGTTTGTGGATTTTGGTGCGGTTGGCTTGGCGGTGGTTGTAGTTCGAGGGGGATCGGAATCGCGTAGAGTCGGCGAGTTACTACGTTTTTTCCTTTATCGGGATTTGAGCTAGGGGCGTCGGTGGAGGTTTGAGTGGGGTAGCGACGGTATAAAGATCGGGTGGTTTTCTCCATTAACTCGGCTTTTATGGCCAAATTGGAAGCTTCAGAGATGGTCCACACGGTTTGGAGTCCGATTTTCTCTTGGATGGAAGGCTTCAAACCGTTGATGTAGCGTGCGACTCTTTGACCCTCCGTTTCGCCTACCTCATTTCGATCGGAGTAACGGATAAACTCCGTTGTGTATTCGGACACGGATCTRGAACCTTGGGAAYAATCCAAGTACATTCGGTAGAGAATCTGTTCGTAATCCTCCGGTAGAAAACGATCTGACATTAATTGCTTCATTCGTCTCCATGAACGAACCGGGCCCTTGTGTTGTCGTTGTCGTTGGGTGGTTAAACGATCCCACCAAACGGCGGCGGTGTTCTTTAAGCGGAAAGCCACCATCTTGACTTGCTTATGCTCCGGGATTTCCATGATTTCGAAGAAACGGTCAACCTCGATTTGCCAATCGAGGAAGTCTTCGACGCCGACGTTTCCATCGTTGGGAGGCGGTCGCTCTTCCTCCTCAGGTTCTGATTCGGAACTAGAGTGAACGCTAGGGGCTAGTTGATGACGGGGTGGTGGTCTACGGTCGGGGTGTCTGTCTCTTACCGGACGCCTGTTGATGAGAGTACTGATTCGATTGATAAGGGTGTCTTGTGAGTTGGTGAAGGCGTTGGTTAGAGCCGTGGTGAGAGCCGTGGTAAGGTCGTCAAAATCGGCTCGGGTGAGGGGTTGGTTGTCTCCTATTGCGGGGTTGGGGAGAGACAGGAAACTGTGCTCTGATACCAACTGACACAGTAGGTTGCGTGGAATAGGATCGACCAGCGTCACCCGAAAAGTAAATAAATTCCACAAGCGTGAAATTAAACAAGAACTCGTAAAACTGTAAGCAAAGCAAAGCTAGGTTGTATTGATAATTCAATCTCCTCCAAAATAGCTATTAACATGGTTCTTAAATAGACTAGGAAATAAAACGAAATTAGGAAACGTCTAGAAAAAAGAAAACTAAATAATTAAAGGCAAGCAGTAAAAAGGAAACTAAATAATTAAAGGCAAGCAGTAAAAAAAATCGGATCTAATGGCACGGGTTAATGCTTCTGGACAGTTCGGTTGCGTTTTCCTTCGATCTGTTGGGCCAGGCGACCCGTATCAGTAGGCGTATGAGATATCATATATCGTTTGTATATGTATATAAGATGTATCTATATATGTTGTATTTGTATATACTATATCATGTATGTACAAGATATCATGTACCATGTTAATGCACACATATATATACACACACATATGTCTATGTTTATATACAAGTATATGTATATATATATATATATCGTCACAAATAGTTTATTGAGACGACATGTCGTCGCTATAGTTTATTGCTGAAATATATCGTTGCTAAAAGACGCGTCATTGAAACTCACTTTTCCGGTACATATGTCAATATGCACATAGTGTATATATCTATGTTTGTATGTGTGTATACTTATGTTAGTACGTATATGCATATATATAGGTTTGTATGTGTATGTTTCTGTGTGTTTATTACATATATGTTTGTGTGTGTATGTTGTATATACATTGGTTATATCATTTAGGGGTTGTTTGGCATTTGCTTAATGGTTTTATGCAGAATGGTTAAGTGGTCAGAATGGTTAAGAGGGTCAGAATGGTTAAGTGCTGAATGAAATATGGTTGTTTGGTAAATGTTGTCTGAATGACAACAAATTACCATTTTAACCCTATGAATGCTTTGGTCATGTTTTTGTATTGAACTAACAGATACCAAAATTGCACAAATAACTTGAATCCACCAACGATCAAATCGATTACCTCATCATATCAATTCGAAAAACAAAAAAATGATGCACATAAACATGAGATTTCAGACAAGAAATTAGGGTTTCACTCACTTTTGGTGCTGGTTATGCTTTCATCCACAATGTGATTGCAGAGGGAATAAGCATTTCAAACAGCCCTAAGTTCATCGACATTGTGATTGTAGAGGGAAGAAAAAAGGAGACAGAAGGAAAATACCTCAAATCGAGTGGGAGACGATGTAGAAGACAACGGAGACGATGGAGAAGGCGTTGGAGAACACGATCGAGTGGGATGAGGAACGAGGATCTCGCGTGGAAGACGGCGACCAAGAGCTGACCAAGAGCGACGATCGTGGGGAGGGGGGGGAGACGGCGAATGGAAGACCGACGGTGGGGGGGAAGACGACGAATGGAACTGACGATGGAGGGAGGGAACGGCGATGGAGGGGGGATGTGATGTGAAGAACGGAGGGTAGAGTTGGAAAAATGAACATCTGAATGGTTTAGTGAAGCTCTAGGTGCAAAATGGTTAAGAGGTTAATGTAACCATTAAGAGCTTGTTTTTTTTGCCAAACACTCTTGACCTCTTAACGATTAAGAGGTTAGCTCTTAATGTCACCATAAGAGCCAAACAA